GGTGGGGGGGGGGGGGTTACAGTTGGGGCTGGGAGCGGATGATGGGCGGGCATTAGCAAGGAGTGTAGGCATGCAGGCGGCTCTGGAATCAGCTGCTTGACAGCCCCGCCACACTGCTGCCAGATGGTTTTCTCCGCCCTCCACCCAACCCACCCACCTTGAGTCCCACGCTGGTCCCCCCGCGCGGGTAGACAACGTGCAGCCTGAGCAGGCAGCGGTTGTCGGCGCACAAGGGGAAGCAGCTGGCGCCTGCAGGAGCGGAGGCAGTGCAGCGGCGGCGCACAAAGGGGTGTAACGAGCGGGGCAGGGAGGGTCCATCACGTCTGTACGCAACTTGCACATTGTGGCCCTGCAGCACAGCTATCGTCGGCTGGCCTAGTGCAATACAGCTGCGCTCAGCCAGACACGCATGCACGCACATGTGTGCTCCAGCGGCGGCAGCCGGGTGGGCTGATAGGGCCCCGCCCTCGCGTAGTTTGGGAACCCCACGGCAGTAGACGCTGGCCAGCTGGGCTTGGCAGCAGCTACCAGCTCCGCCAGGCCGCGGTTGCTGCTGCCGGCGGCTGGGCTGCTCGCGGCAGAGGCTGCAGCCTGTACCGCTGCTGCCGCCGCTGCCTGGCCCGCTCCCAACAGCAGGCAGCTGCCGGCGAGCAGCAGCTGCCGTCTCCCACTGCCGCCACTGCTGCTGTGCGCTGCTCCAGCTTCTGCATCCCCGCAGCTGCAGGCTTGCTGAGCTGCTCGGCACGCCAGCTGCCGCCGTAGCTGCCACCGGTGCAGGACGCAGAGCGGTGGCAGGCGGCGGCGGGGGTGCGACGGCGCCGCCGCAGCACCCTGCTGTGCTGCTATGGAAGCAGGCGCCAGCTGCTGACCCGCCATGCCCTCCCTGCCTGCTTCCCGAGCCGTGGAGCCCCAGAGCCAGAGTAGGATGCCTGCCCCGACAGTGATGACCTCCCGTGTGTGGCAGGCAGGCAGCAATCTGCAGTGCAGGCTTTGGTGCCCTGATTGCAATTGCCCGCCGCTCCCCGCTCGACTCCCCGCTCAAACTGCCAGCTGTCATCTAATCTGGAGACGTGCAGGATGAGGCAGGCTCCCCTCGGCTCGGACAAAATTATTGATACTCACTCACTCCCACAACCAGCTCGCTGTGTCTGAGCCCTCCCGCAGCCCACCCCCTCACAGCTTTTGTCACATCCCAGCTGCAAACCCAGAGCCAGATGGCGGCTCAAGCAGCAGCGGCAGGCAGCCTGCAACATGCTGCCTTCGTGTCAGGCCCGCCCATGAGGCGGCCGGCACGGCGCCAGGCACCGGTCGCGGCAGCGCAGGCCAGCGGCGCCACCAACGTGAGCGGCGTGGCCGACAAGGCCAAGCCCGACTGGACGGGTAGGTGGGAGGTTCATCAGAGAGACGGCGCCGCACAGCCGCCGGTGCATGGGCAGCAGCGACCGGCTGGGCACGGGCTGCGTGCCCCCCTCCCCGCCTGCGCTCGCCGCTTGCTGGCCACGTTGGAGGGCTTGCGCTGCCGTCTGCCGCAGGTGACGACACGCTGTCACGTGTGGTCAACGCAGCCATCAACTTCAAGCCGCTCTTCGCGCTCATGAAGGTGTGTGACGAGTGTTGGGGAGGGGACGGGAGTTTGACCGCCGTGCATGCACGCCATGGTGGCACCTCACACTCACCTGCCGCGCCCTGGTGCCTGCCTGCCCGCCTGCAGCTGGGCGCGCGGCAGACGATGAAGAGCACCGCCGAGAAGGCGGGGGTGCCGTGGTCGGCAAACGTGCGGGAGCTGGAGCAGTCGGGTGGGTTGCTGGGGCGGCAGAGCGGGGCAGGGCAGAGGCTCCCGACAGCCTGCCTGGGCCGCCTGGCGAGCCTGGCATGCCCGTGTGCCGGGTTGATTGCCGCCGCCCTGGCCCCTGCCTCCCGCCTGCTGCAGAGGTGTTCCAGATTAAGGAGGAGATCGAGGACAAGGGGCTGGCCTACCCAGACTACTACACCGTGCCCTTCCACGGTGGGTGGGTGGCTGCGCGGGCAGCTAGGCTGGGGTGGGCTGCGCTGCAGTCATGCTGGCAGCTGGCGGCTGGGTGGAGGGGAAGCAAGCCAGGGCAGGCAGACATCGGCGGCGCCGATGCTGCTCCTTGCTTTCCAACGGGACCGGCGAGTCCGGCCCTGCGCAGGCTCCCCCCCCACACACACAAACCCAGCCTGCCTGCCCCTGTGCCCTGCCCATCCCTCCCATCTCCCACCCTCCCGCACCCCCCTCCCTCCTGCCCACGCCGCAGGTTACAACGAGGGCAACCTCAACTGGCTGGCGGCATTCGAGGTGGAGCCCGCCAGCGACGTTATGGCGCTGCGGGTGTGGAAGACGGAGCAGCTGACACCGCTGCAGGCCATGGTGGGTGGGCGCGGGCGCGGCGCACGAGGCGGCGGCGGCCATGCACGCCATCCGCCAGTGCGGCACCCGCGGGGCCCGCAGCCTGCTGCCCCGCGCCCTGCCTGCAGCTGCCCCACACCTGGCCACCCAGCACACACACATTGTCTACCCGGCCTTGCCTGGCCTGGCCTCTGCCGGCCCCATGCAGACGCGGCTGCGCAAGGCCATCTACACCGCGATCCGCGCTTTCCAGGCGCGCCACGACCTGCGCGAGGTGCGCGACATGATCGACATCGGCTGCTCCGTGGGCGTGTCCACGCGCTGGCTGGCGGCAGAGTGGCCGCAGGCTCAGGTTGGTGCGGGGGGGAGGGGGTCAAGGGCACGTGCGGTGTGCTGGCCGCTGGCTGCACCAATGCTGCGCCGGTTCTCGGCCCCTGGGGGGCACCCTCCTTGCTCCCCGCTGCCCTGCCCGGGCACCCGCCTGGAACTGTCCCCCGCCTTCCTGGGCGGTGGCCGAGTTGCGGGAGCGGCAGCTGGCGGGCGGCGCGGGGGGAGGCCAGGCAAGCCCACAAGGGCCGCCGCGCGGCACCCGCGCGGAAGTGGCGGCCCCCGGAGAGAAGGCATGGCTGCGGTTGGCTTTCTCGGGGCTGCCCGGCCTGCTGCCTACACTCCCCGCGGGCCCTCCCCCATGCCCACCCGTCCCTGCCCCCCTGCGGCGCCTTGCCTCCCCCTGCCGCAGTCAGCGGCAGCGCATCCGATACATGCACGCCAACATGGAATCCACGGGGCTGCCAGACGCCTCCTTCGACCTGGTGGCGGTGCAGTTTGTGGCGCACGAGTGCCCGGGCCGCGCCATTGAGGGCCTGGTGAGCGAGACGCCTGCTGCGGACCGGCCGCGGCGGTGGGCCAGCTGCGATGTGCGAGGTGGTGGTGGTGCAGGTGTCTGGCCCTCTCCCTGGGGCATGCATGCCTCCTCCTGACCCCAGCCAGCCAACCAGCAACGCCTCCCACCTCTGGGAACCCCGGTGCCCCCCTGCAGGTGCGCGAATGCCGGCGCCTGCTGCGCCCCGGCGGCACGCTGGCCCTGTGCGACAACAACCCGCGCAGCAAGGTCATCCAGAACCTGCCGCCCGTGCTGTTCACGCTGATGAAGAGGTGGGCTGGCGGCTCGGGTGGCGGGTGGGGGCAGGGCAGGGCAGGGCTGGAGGAGTGGGGCAGGCAGCAGGGCGAGGGGCGTCCCCTTTAGGGCCCTCTTCCATGTTCTCACCTTCCACTCGTTCATCCCCTCGCCACCTCAACCCCTCGCCACCCCCCTCCAACACCCTGGTGGCGCAGCACCGAGCCACACAGCGACGAGTACTACCAGTACGACATAGAGGGGTGCATGCAGGCGCAGGGCCTGCAGGGGGTGGGCACGGTGGAGAGCGACCCGCGGCACCGCGTCATCCTGGGCTACCTGCCGCGGGACCAGTGATGGCGGTGCCGCCTGCACCGCCAGGGCCGCCAGCGCTGCCGCGCGAGCTGCTTTCGTGCCATGCACTGTTCAAGACCAAGCTGCACCTCTGCCCAGCCCGTTGCGGCGGCTAACGGCTCATTGATTCACACATTTGGCACTACTTTGTCTCACTTTAACCATGAATGTGACATTCTTGTGTTTGACCAGCGAATATGCTGACTGTAAGCGGAGAATATCAATTAAAAAAGCAAGCTGAAAACAATAGGAGTATGCTCGGCATGGTACATGTGGTATGGGAGCAGCAGGACTTGTACAAGTTGTTGTGTGTGGAGACGGGAGCAATTTGCTGTCATTGAAGTGATTACACAGGCTGACGGCACAAAGCGGGCCAGCGCTGGAGGGCCAGGGCTGGAGCGCCTTCCATTGCTGCAGGGGTCAGCCGCAAAAGCCGGGGCCGCTCACGCTGGCTCCATGCATCAGATCCAGCACAGCGGTCCGCCCCGAGAATACGGTCGTCGCTAGGGCGCCCAAGCCGATGACAGCCGCCAGCAGCAGCACAAGGGAGCTGGCCAGGCCACTGCGCCGCACGGCACGACCAATGAGGAAGGTGCCCAGGCAGGCGGCGGCCAGGCAGGCGGTACCAAACACCGCGGCATACACCAGGTTTATGCGGCCCGCAGCGGCAAAGACCCCCAGGGCTGTGCTGGCGGAGAAGAGCACACAGAGGCCGGACGTGGCGGCGGCGGACGATGGGTGCACGCCCAGCTCTGCAGGCAGGCGGGCCAGGAGGCAGGCAGCAACGTGTGGCTGGCTGGCTCGCTGGCAGTGGCCAACTGATCCACAACTTTTATGCAAACAAATGCACTCACCAATCAAGAGGGGCGCCATGACCTGCAGCCAGCCGCAACACTGTAGCATCAGGGGCATTGATACGGCAGGACGGGCAAGCGGTTTGGCTGCATGCCAGCTGCTGGCTGCGCTGTAGGCTGCACTGAGTCGGCCACTCACCATGCCGCCCCCCAGCCCCAGAGTGCCTGCCAATGCGCCGCCGACCAGCGAAATTGCAGAGGCAGCTGCCAGCTGGCGCGCTGTCCAGCCTGGCACAGCATCCAAGCCAGCAGCGATATAGGCGGTGCCGGCGTCTGCGCTGCTGCTGCTGGGAGTGCCTGACAGGATGGGTTCGGTTTCATTGCCGCCACGCTGCCCCCGCTGTGCACGCATGGCCTGCAGATACCACGATGGGACAGGCTTCATTATTGCAAGGGGCTTGTGTGTTGAGGGCATGTCACATCGCACTGCTTGCCTGCCAGCTGAAGAGCGCAGAGAGGGCAAGCGCCAGCAGAGCTTGAAGGCCAAACAGCAGGCCGTGCTGCCAGCTGCAGCGCCCAAAATGCGCCTTGCCGAGCGTCAGGCCCAGAAAGGCAATCCACAGCAGCCCCATCTTAGCAAGCTTGGACCATGGGGCAGGGAGGCAATCACCCTGCAGCAGGCACCGGTGCCTGCTCAGCACATATCGCAGGCTTTCAGACTTTTCGAAGCCTGAGGCACCCACCTGAGTCGTGTCGCTGCCTCCAGCTCCAGCCATGCCATTGCACCTGCTCTCCTCGTGCTCTGTCTGCTGCGACTGGCTGCGCTGCTGGCAGTCAATCGCCAGACCGTCGCTGCAAGTTGACGAGCGCTGCAGTTGCTGTTGCGAACCATGCAGACTTAGCCGCTGAGAGCTATGCATGGGCATCAGCTCATCATCCAGCACACCATCCAGCAGGGTTGGGGCATCGCTCCAGCGCAGAGGCTCTGGTGCGCCCTCCTCTGCTGCTGCTGCCTCCTCCAGCTCGACCCTAACCTCACTCTGCTTGCTGGGGCTGGCACTGGCCTGCTGCTGCTGCTGACCCGCCTGCTCAGCCCCCCCTGCCGCAGCAATGTGCCAGCTAGGCGACGCTGCTTGCGCCGCCGCGCTGCCATCCGAGCTGTTGCCAGCAACACTGTAGCCAGACCCAGCGGCAGCTAGCAAGTGGTGCAGGGAGCGGCTGCTGCGTGGCGCCTTGATGGCCACACTCCGCCTGACAAGCTCCAGGCACAGCTTGGGCGACGGCTCTGGCTGCGGGCCAACCAGCAGCTGCCCGCTGCTGCTGCAGGCCGACTGCGGCTGCAGCCACTGCTGTGCCTGCTTCTCTGCTCGCCGCATGCTCAGTCCCGTGGCCGCGGTGCGTATGGCAAAGGTGATGAGCAGCGGGATGAGCAGGATGGTGACCAGCCAGGCGGGCAGGGCCAGGTTGAGAAGGACGCCGGTGGCGACGCCCAGGAGCAGGGGCGGCAGCAGCGTGAGCGCTAGGCTGAAATCAATGAGCGGGGCGCCGGGGCGGAGCGGATGCTGCCGTGTGAGGCTGAACGCCACGGAGCCAATGGCTCCGCCGGTGATGACCGCCTGGCTGAGTGCCGTGGCGGCCTTGATGCTGATTGACAGCAGCACGGAGAACAGCGGCACAAACACGGCACCCCCTCCAACGCCTGCCGCATTGGAGAGCGCCGACACCTGCGGAGCAGCAGCGAGGTTGGTTCAGCCTCCAGTGCACGAGTTGGAGCGGGCAGCCGAGGCGGTCAGAGAGGGGCGGTCAGAAAGGGGCGGTCAGCTCATCCACTCACCAGTGGCGCCAGCACCAGGGCAGCAGCTGTCCCGCCCGACAAGTGCAAAGGCTGATGCGCGCCGTCATGGTGTGCTGACACATTTGTGGACGCCGGCGATGTAAGCAGGGCCCGGCCGGTCAGCGCGCGTGCCTGTGCGCTGGCGCCGGGCACGCCGCCACCACTGCAGCCGCTGCCGATTGGTGACGACCGAGCGGCCGACACCACTAGGCTTGCTGCAAGCACGACCAGGAGCGGCAAGCAGTTCCCGGCTGCCACAGAAGCCATACAGCCAGTAAACCTAGGCAGGGCTGACTAGAACATCGCCAAAACCAGCAGACCTGCTGTGCAAGCTATTTTGGTTGATGTGTTATGCGATGGGAAGCAGCAGGAGGTGCTGCAGTTCGTGCAGGGGGTCGCTGACTTGGTGCGGCGGCAGCATGTTGCCCCCTGATGTGGCACCCTCCCGATTGGGCAACCCCCGCCCCCGCTCCCTCCTGGCAGCCCGCGCGGCGCTCCCCTCCCATACGTGAACTGACCCCATATAGCCCTGTTTGAGGGTTGAGCGGGGCGGAGCGGGGCTGCTTGCACACGTGATGGCATGCACGCTTCAACGCTCCCGCTGTCATCTCACCTCTCTAGCGTCAGAAATACAACTCTTACAAGCCAACCAACACGAACAGAGAGACCGAACAACAGAAATGAACAGGAAATATGAAGCCGCCACAGGCGGCAGCACCTTCCAGCGGAGACGGCAAAGCGTACAAGGCACACTTTTTCAATGGTTCTTGCAATTGCCACCCTTACCGGTTATACAGCCACAGTGCCGCCCACACCGCGCACCATTCTTCTTGCAGCTGCAGTTCCGGGTGCAGGCGCCGCGGCAGCCGCAGCGCACGGCTGCCTTGCCGCCGCCGGGCTGCGCCGCCATCGCCACATTGAGAGACACCACAGGCACTCCTCGCTGCGCCGTGCCGCTGAAGGTCAGCTCGCTGGCCAGGCTGGGTGGCGCCTTAGATAGCCTGCTGGCCTGATGCATACCCTCCACCACTCCAGCTCCGCTCCGCAGCCGGTACATGGTCACGCCAAAGGGCCGCTTGATCTCCACCACGCGGCACACGATGCGGTTGCGGCCCAGCTGCTTGCCCACTTTGCCGCGCTTCGGCGGCAGCAGCAGCACGTCATCGCCCACAGCAAAGTCCTTGGGCTCGCCCTTTGGCCTGCGCTG